CCCCCCCCCCCCCCCCCCCCCCCCCCCCCTCACTTGCTCTCGCTCTCTCTCTCTCTCTCTCACACACACACACACACACTCCAGCCCTTTGCACTCCCTACATGAAACGTCCCTCTTCATTAATATTTCGGCTACTTTTTGCCGGGCTGGACAGTAGCTAATCTGACCTCTTCCTCAATCTTTCCCTGGGCCACGTCTATCTCCTCATCCTCCTCCTCCGACGTATCTCCCTGAATCGCTATTTCTGTCTCCTTCTCCGGCCCTGCATCAGCTGTTGCAGCAGTAAAACTTGTGGTGGCAAACATATCGGTAAGTTTTGCGCATTTTGCTGCGTCCACTTTAAGGCTTTTTTGCCTTTTCTCCCTGAGCTTTTCTGCGCGCCCCTTACGCTTTTTTGGGTTGTCCATAGCCACTCCTCTCTCCAGCTCAAATGGCAAAATTTGATAACCATGGTTAAAAAGGGAGGGGCGGGCCGAGGAGGTCTGAGAGATTTCATTGGATTATCCCAATGTCCTTCAATAAAATCAACCAATGGGACGTCGCGGTAGATAAAAAATATTTATAATGTGCCCGGTACGCCAGATGGCCAGTCCAGCCCTGGACTCAACAGCGAGAAAGATGAAACCTGGTGGTCCCAAGTTCATTTCCTGTCTCTACTCCACCCCCTGCTGACCATAAAGACGTTTGTTTCTGTGTGTGTGTTTTTTTTTTATTAAGTCTGTTTAATATATTATAACAGACAACCTTTCAACGTTATATCCCGTTTCAGACTTACCACGTAGTATGTGCGCAGCTTCTTCAGAAATGAACTTGATATGTTCAAACAGATTCTGCACATCCATCTGTTAAATTTAAAGTGAAAACATTTCGCCACGTTCCACGGTTATATATGGTACACTTTTCATAGCCTTTAGTTCTTCAAATTGTCGTGACACAATAAATGTAGTTTTTAGAACAAAATACAGATGGTTGTGTGTTACTGTGATATTATTAATGGGCTACGTAGCTTCAAACCAAGTCTGTACAGATATTTCGATAGTTTCGACCTAATGCAGTTTACACTAAATTTAAATTGTGTATTACTAGCCTACTTTTAAATCCCGTGATTCCGTTTCGAATTAATGGCATTTAAGTTTAGTTTACAAAAATAATTCAAACGCTAAATCTGGGCTGTTCATTTACAGCAGTCTAACACTGCTTTGTTATTATATAATCCATGATGGCGATGCTTACCCGGTTGCCCATGATTATTGTGTTTTATTTGATCTTTCTCTCCACGCAAGAAGTCGAAGAATAATGTTTCCTAACGCTGAGTGAACGTGATGTTAATCATATCGCTCAGATTTCACTGTATAACCAAAAACGAAAGTTAACTGACTGTTCGGGTGCCACGTGTCCGACATGACGTACTTTCTTTAGTAAGTTCATACTTGGGAAGCCAAAAAACGCAATGAAAAGCGCAAAGCGTTGTACTGCGTCTTTTTTTTCGCATGCATTTTCCATCTCACGTTTGTCCACAGTCTTGTTCTTATATAATTTTGCGTTGCGGTAGCCGTTTGTTTGATTGTCCCTAGTGTTTGTGTGGAAAAGAGGGAGTAAAAAAACGCATACAAACATTTTGGAATCCGTTTGTATCCATTTTTCATTGACATCAATGGGAGTGCGCAGTGCAAAGAAAAGCATGCAGCAGTGCGTTTTCAAAATGCACTGCATCGCAGCGCATTAGTGGGAGAGAACATCAAACATAATCTCTAGGTAATACACGTATGGCAAGCCACATTGTCTTTTATTAGCGTAAGGCTCCTTACAACTTAATTCTTACTAATAAGAACAATGCAATTTTATTAATAAGAATACGAATTCAAGATATCCACAATGCAATTCTTATTAGTAAAAGTGATCATTTTTACTAGTAAGAATCGTATTTTTATTAGTAACAATTCATATTATATAGCTATATTATTCAATTTTTACTAGCCATATATTCCAATTGACTTCCATTTTATATTTGCCTCACATATCCTGAATTCCTCTCCTGGAGCCGACACCTTATCGTGGTGGAGGGGTTTGCGTGTTCCAATGATCCCAGGAGCTAAGTTGCCTGGGGCTTTATGCCCCTGGTAGGGTCACGCAAGGCGATCAGGTCCTGGGTGAGGAACCAGACGAAGTGTGGCTCATCAGACCCCTTATGATGAGAAATAACATCGATCCACGTTTTCCCTTGCCTGGACGCAGGTCACCGGCCCCCCCTGGAGCCAGGCCTGGGGGTGGGGCTCGATGGCGAGCGCCTGGTGGCCAGGTCTGCACCCATAGGGCCTGGCCGGGCACAGCCCTAAGAAGGCACGTGGGTTTCCCCTCCAATGGGCTCACCACCTGTAGGAGGGGCCATAGGGGTCGGGTGCAGTGTGAGTTGGGCAGTGGCCGAAGGCGGGGACCTTGGCAGTCCGATCCTCGGCTGCAGAAGCTAGCTCTAGGGACATGGAATGTCACCTCTCTGGTGGGGAAGGAGCCTGAGCTGGTGCGCGAGGTTGTGAGGTTTGGACTAGTCGGGCTCACCTTGACGCACGGCTTGGGCTCATGGAGCCAGTCTCATTGAGAGGGGTTGGACCCTCTTCCAATTCAATGCATTATTTATAGTGCTTTGCAAGCTTTACTTACTACTGATAATTGCCCCAAGTTCACTGAATTGAATTGGATTGTTAGGGCTGTGAATCAATTAAAAATGGCAATACATTACTTGAGGGGATACAAATAATCTATTAACCAATAACTAAAGAAAGACGAAATATTTGTTTCTACTTTTCTCCCATTTGGGTATCAAAATGCTGCTTGCATTATCATGAGTTTTGCTGGTGAAAGTCACACATAAATCAACGATGCCTGAAGAAGTTTTGGTTTTATCAGCAATATCAGCAAACTGCTGGATGAAGCATATATGTCTGCTCTGTCCTGGTCCTCTAAAGCAGGGATTCCCAAACTGTTTTCCTGGGGACTCAAAAGGAAGAGAAGTCATCTATCTGGAGCCCAAAGCCAAAATATGTCTTGAAATACCATTAGATGTTATTGATATAAAAAGAAAAAACATCAAGAACCAAACAATATTCTTCAAATAAGCCTTTAAAAAAATGGTTTTAATTGTATTGATGACAGGTAATGTGGGTGGTACAGTGGTTAGCACTGTTGTGTCACACCTCTGGGAACAGAGTTCGAGTCTCTGCCATGGCTGCATGAGTGTGAAGTTTGCATGATCTCCCCATGTTGTTGTGGGGTTTCCGCTGGGTTCTCCGGTTTCCCCCCACAGTCCAACAACATGCTGCAGTTAATTGGCATTACCAAATTGCCCGTATGTGTGAATGTGCCCTGTGATGGGTTGGTGCCTCATCTTGGGTTGTTCTCTGCCTTGTCCCCGTAGCCTCTGGGATAGGCTCCAGACCCCCTGCAACTCTGAATAGGACAATTGGTTACAGAAAATGGATGGGTAAATAATGCCCCCCTCTATAAACCCCTCCTTCATCTTTTAAAACACACACACACACTGGAACACCTGACATAACACTGAAAATGCAGATTTTTGGAATCAAAACATAACATTGAACAATTATAACATCCTGCGCGTTTCCTCACCTCCCCCTCCACCCTGTCGCACTGGGAACACAGGAAAGACAAGGATACCCAAGTGCTGGAGAGAGAGTATTTATTATAGGAAACAGGCAACCAGAAATGGAACTGATAAGCCAAAGACGTACCTGGGGTCACGGTGTTAGATGGGGTAAATCCAGGGAAGTCAATCCTACAGGTACACAGGAGACAAGGAGCAGGAGCATGGGGTAGAGCAGGTGGAAGAGTAGGACGAGATCAGGTGGGGCAGGAAATGAACCAGAACAGACACTTAAATACACAGCTAACAAGACACCATACAGGACAGATGAGAATCATAACCATTGCCGCGTGTGGCATTAATTAAATAGTACTGGAGACTAGGGAAAATTGACAAGCACTAAGGGTTAACTAAAGCAAGGAAAACTGAGTAAACCAGGGACAAGGAGAAAAGACAAGGAACCAACTGAAATACAAAAAAACACCAAAAACAAAAAAGCACTAATAACTAATAACAATGGGGAAAACTAAACAAAACAAAGGAGGCTTGTTCCTAGCCAGCTTTGAACCCACAACTTAATATCAATATAAAACTAACACACACATGAAAAAAATCACACATACAAAAGCAATAAACAATAAATAAATTTCAATCCCATACTCCAAATCAAGAGCAGATGTCGTGCCTTCTGAGCGGGGAAGCAGGAGCCGGAACTGAGGAATTGGGGAAATGAGGGATTTATTAGGAATTGGCACAATTATGGAAACAGATAACCTGATAGCAAACCGACGTCAACGACAGGACTGGGGAAAGACTAACTGGGAAGCACTTAAATACACAGGACTGATTAACAACGAGAAACAGCTGGTAACATGGGGATTCCACACGAGGTAGATGAGGGGGGCATGGCATATGAGAGGATCGGACGAGCGGGGCATGACCGCAGACACACATGCACCACCTTCAAGTCTTGCTATAATTTCCTTGTTAAGTTCTACAGTTACTCTCATTACTTTCCTCTTTGGTTTGCTGCTATCACTGCTTAGTTTCTTAGGGGCCGTGATTTCTGTATTATTTCTGTATATAGATAAAGCACAAAAAATTCACACCAAACAAAGAAACACAGCTTTCGCACAGCGAACTTGGTCGAGAGGCACCGCAATTCTATGAGCTATTCATATACATAAGCATCCCAACAGGTCCATTTGTCTTTGTGTCAGCCCATCAGAGACGTGTCTCGATCCATACAGGTTTTAGCAGGTCTGTTTTGTTTTGTCATGTTCTGAGTTTTTGGTCAAATTGTAGTTAGATTTTTCTTGACCGTCCCATTCGAGATCCGAATTGGTGGAATTGAAGGCGTGTTGAAAAAAATTCAACAGACCCGATCAGTGTCCAAGTTGATCGAGTTAAGAGGCGTTCGAGTTCCAAGGTTCCACTGTATATGCAAATGGCTCTTGCCAGTGAACTTTGCGTATTGTAATGTAGAGCCTTGCAATGTTGAAACTGGTGTCTTTTACATGAATAAGTATCAGTTTGCTAATGAAAGATGCTCATTGCTGCTATCATTCAGCATCGTGGAGCTCAGGAGCATACTCACACTGACATTTTGACAAAATATCTGTCAATATTGGTTAAAACAATGCTGATTTGCTTTTCGTGACTAATTCATTGGTGGAATTATTTCCTTTTGAGACACGATTTAATTGTTTTGGGTAAGTTACACGCTTTTGCAGATAAACCATAGTGTTGTGCTATATGCATGAATTGTTTTCAGAAATGCTCTTATAGTCTTGAGAATGTTAAATATGTTTCATGGAATGTGCCAAAGCAATCAAGAATGAATACATGTAATGCAGTTGTCAGAAAGGTTCCTTCAATGGTGAATTATAAGGGAAATATTTCCAAAGTAGATGTTTTATTGGATGACAAAATTATAAACTGCTTGTTACCAGCCACACAACCACGTTTCTTTACCGACTGCAATGCATGCTGCCTGTGATGACATCCCAGCAGATTGTTGTAGAGGATGGGAGGCATGCAAGAAGATTTTTTTCCTTGTTGTATTGCACAGGAGAATATCAGATATGATGTAGATGA